TGTCAGTCTTCAGAATTTGAATTTCTGTGCAGAAGAGCTCTGTTGGGTGACACAAACAAGGTACATGTTTTTCGGCAGCGTACAGTGGTGTGATTTAGGGACTGTCCCATGTTTGATCCCTGCCAGAATTCACGACTTGGGTCCTTCTGTCCCTTTGTTGCTGATGCTGCTCACGTGGTGGGTGCGCTCAGCAAAGCAGCTGGGGGAGTCACTGTCCTCTTTCATCCAAGAGTCCAGGAGCTGCAAAATTCATCCAAGATGCTGGAAACTGGAGTTCATTTGGATTCTCCACAGGTACTGAGAGCCATATTAGTTTTCCCAATGGAATGCCTTAATCAGAAGTGAGGACATGAGGAAGTGGCATGGTCAACCCACCTTTAAGTTGGAAGCACGTGTACATGAATTGCGAGGAAAGACCCCTGACAAGAAGAAGCCATCCAAGAAAGTTGTTAATGTAGCTGGTGTAAAACCACAAGAAAGTAACCAGCGATCTCTCAGATACAGGAAGACAGAGATCACCTCCATTGACCCTGATGAAGGAATCTCCGGCCTGGCATGGCAAGGGTCAGACAGTGAATACTCCGACCAAGAACGGGAATAGAGGGCCCCTGCCTCCAGCCAGGAGGAGAAAAGGGATGATCGGGTGTATTGGACAGTGTGGATTCGATGGCCTGGCACATCAAATCCACAGAAGTACCAGGCTTTAATCGACACCAGGCACAGTGTACACTAATGCCATCAAGTTATAGAGGGGCAGAACCTATCTGGATCTCAGGAGACAGGGGGATGTCAAGAACTGTCAGTACTGGAGGCCCAGGTTAGCTTGACTGGGGAGAAGTGGGGAAAACATCCCACTGTAACTGGCCCAGAAGCCCCTTGTATCTCAGGCATTGACTACCTCAAGAGGGGATACTTCAAAGACCCAAAAGGATACCAATGGGCTTTTGGTGTGGCCAGTGTGAACACAGAGCAGATCAAACAGCTGTCTAATCTTCCTGGCCTCTCAGAAGATCCTTTTGTTGTGGGACTGTTGCGAGTTGAAGAACAGGTGCCAATTGCTATGAGGACCGTGCACCGACGGCAGTATCGTACAAACCGAGACTCTCTGGCTCCCATCCAAGAACTGATTCATCAACTGGAGAGCCAAGGTGTCATCACTAAGATGCATTCACCTTTTAATAGCCCAATATGCCCAGTGAGAAAGTCTGATGGAGGGTGGAGATTAACAGTAGACTGCTGTGGCCTGAGCAAAGTGGCACCACCACTGAGTGCTGCTGTACCAGACATGTTAGAGCTGCAATATGAACTGGAGTCAAAGGCAGCCAAGTGGTACGCCACAATTGACATTGCCAACACATTCTTTTCAATTCCTTTGGCAGAAGAGTGCAGGCCACAGTTTGCTTTCACGTGGAGGGGCATGCAGTATACCTGGAACCGACTGCCCCAGGGGTGGAAGCACAGCCCCACTATTTGTCACGGACTAATTCAAACTGCACTGGAAAAGGGTGATGCCCCTGAACATTGATGACATCATTGTGTGCGGCAATGAAGCAGGAGAAGTGTTCAAGAAAGGACAAAGAGTAATAGAGATTCTTCTGAGAGCTGGGTTTGCCATAAGGAAAAGCAAGGTCAAGGGACCAGCACAAGAGATTCAGTTCTTGGGAATAAAATGGCATGATGGACGCCGTCATGTGCCATTGGATGTTGTCAACAAGGTAGCAACTATGTCTCTACCGACCAACAAGAAGGAAACACAAGCTCTCTTAGGACTTGTGGGATTGTGGAGGATGCATATTCCAGGTTACAGTCAGCTTGTGAGCCCTCTCTATCAAGTAACCCGAAAGAAGAACAATTCTGAGTGGGGTCTTGAGCAACAACAAGCCTTTGAGCACATCAAACAGGAGATGGCTGGGGCGGTAGCCCTTGGCCCTGTTCGGACAGGACCAGCTGTGCAAAATGTACTTTACACATCAACTGGGGAGCATGGCCTCACATGGAGCCTCTGGCACAAGATACCAGGTGAAACTCAAGGTTGAGCATTAGCATTTTGGAGCCGGGAATATCAAGGGTCAGAAGCCGCCTACACTCCAACTGAAAAGGAGGCACTGGCAGCATATGAGGGGATTCGAGCCACTTCAGAAGTTGTTGGTACAGAAGCACAGCTGCGCTTGGCACCACGATTGCCTGTATTACATTGGATGTTCAAAGGAAACATCCCCTCTACCTACCATGCAACCAGTTCTACCTGGAGTAAATGGGTAGCAGTAATCACACAACGAGCTCGACTGGGAAAACCCAATCGTCCAGGGATCCTGGAAGAGATCATGGACTGGCCACGGTCATGGGGGTTTCATGGAGGTGGAGGAAGGTGTCTTCAACTTGGTTTGCTGGGGATGTGTTCATTTGTGTGAGAACATTTGCAAGATGTTGGGTTTGCCTGCTGGGTCTCGTGGTATGTGAGTTTTTGAGGGATGACGGTGCATGGGATGTAGGGAGTAAGAAGGAATTCCCATGGTCTTTTTGTAAAAGCGATTGGGATTGTCAAGCTAGGGGAACAACTGCATTGAGCAACAGCAGGGAAAGAGGAGAGGTGTGGTGGTGCCCGTCCTTTAAAGGTCTTCCAGCTGTGGACACGTGTGTCCAGATGAGATATTTAACATCTACCTCCCCGGGGAACTGCGGTGGTGGAGAGTGTCTCCTGCGGTGGAAGTGAGACTCAGTGGAGTTTCCCATCTGATCTGAATTGCAGCTAAAGGCAAAGGCTTTGAGTGTCTAATTTTGATCAGATGACTCAAACCCTTTCTTTTTAGTGGAACAACATGAACGCAATTTTTTTTTTTTTTTTTTTGCTTTACTGCTGCAGGAAAAGCCAGAAAAGAGTGAAAGCTAATGGCTTGAAAACATTTTCTTTTACATTATTAACCACTTCCCCTTTCATTTCTGCAGGCATGGAGAGGAAGAAAGAAGGGAGTGTTCTTTTGCCCACGGAAAAGGCAACCCTTAAAACAAAAAGCTTACAAGCTAAGCTTTTGTGCCTTCACTTCAACTTTTCCAATCAGCAGAAACTCTTCCTCTGGGTTGATCTCTAATAGAGAGCACACAGAAGTTAGCGAGTCCTTCACACTGTTGTCCTACAAGATGACTGCATCTCCTTTATCAGGGGAAAAGAAGGTCTGAGAAGCCTTCTGCTAGTAGAAATACATTGAAGGTTGTTCTCAAGAATGCAGCAGAGAGAAAGCTCAACAGCTTCTTCCAGAGTGAATCCATGTCCAGCAGGGCTGATGCTACACCTGAGATGACTCTCTGGAGAGCATTTGGGATAGATCTGAATTCTGCAGAGCTACAGGAGACTTCTGAAGTTGGTCTCCACCCCTGGCAAACGTACTCATTCTGGGCGAGTGGTTTAAAACACAGGCAGAAACAAAACCTGCCGAGATGCAGGAAAAATGCACACTTGGCCCTTGGCACGAGCCATGACATCCCCCTGGGCCTGGTCTGGTGAAAGAAATGATCAATTCAGGTTCTGATCTGTTCATGCTGAAACCATTTCACCTTTAGATAATCTGCTGCAGTGGGTTGACCTTGGCCATCTGCCAGACGCCCACCCAGCCACTCCCTCACTCCCACTCATCAACAGGACAGGGGTGGAAGGAAAGGTGAAAAAGCTCATAGGTCGAGGTGA